AATTTGAGATTTTTTTTTTAAATCAGAGAAAACCAGGATCCCTGCTGATAAGTCACTCATATTCAGGGTAATAAAACAATTAAGAGTTTAGTTGCTGACTGTGAAGCCTAGCAATGGCTCAATGCTTATTTACAAACCATCTGAAGAGCCAAACCCAATTAATCATGACATCTAATTTTTGTGCCCTTGTTGTATTGTATCTTTTCCTTCCTATTCATTGTCATCAACTGTCAAGTCTACAATTACACGCTCTTTGGAGAAATGGAAGTGCACGTTTTAAAAAAAGACAGCACTCTATAACATTTATTTGATGTTTACAAACTCAGGCTGTACAAAAGCAAACTGTATTGCTGATGCTTATTTGTACTGCAAGGGTACTTTTTGCAAATGTAGATACTTTCATCCAGTTTTAAATATGAGGCGTAAGTGAGCCCCTCTGATATTTCTCACAGTGAAAGGATAATAAAAAGTTAAAAACTGAGAGATATGCTAGTGTAAAACAAAAACAAAAAAAATGCTGGTGCTAAATAAAACATTCCCTATTAGAAATATCATGCAGTTGCAAACTGTCTTTGCACCTTGACTTGTAAATTGAAATAAGTTTATTTTCATATATGGTACTAAGCGATTGACAGTATTAGTGGCTTGACATTCCTGTACTTAGTGTGTGCTACCACATTTCCTTTGCATAAATTTAAACTTAAGCCAAGAAAGTGCCTCAATCAGCATAATCTCTTGATGTGGAACACTTACAAAAGGTTGGTTTCTGTGCAAATTAGGAAAGCAAGCAAGCACATTGTGAGGTGAACTGGGATTTTCCAAACTAACTCTACAATTTGAGAGGAGTAGTAAGTGGAGCTCACAGAGCTATTTTATAGCATATGTGATACTTCTAACCTGCTTATTCTCACTTGATCATTTGCATATTAAAAGACTGCAAAATTTGGATTCTTACATTTGGAAAAAAGGAGTATTAGAAAGGGTTTAACTAGGACCTTCAAAATATATGCATCACAATGATAAACTTACTTTTCATTAGATCCCTTGATTCTTGCAGATAGGATAATGCATAAAACAAAGTAAACACAGAATCCATTTTCTACAAATGGATGAACTCCCAAATTACTGATTCATAAAAAAGTAAAGTAAAATAGTGAAGAAGGAACTGGAAAAACAGCCTGAGATAATATCAACCCTGAAGTCTGATCTGATTCCCAGATGGTTTTAGATAAGCTAATCACAGCAGCATCCAACACCTTTACCATTTGTGTCTTGCCAGATACTTTTTCTTTTGGATAATAATCCTGCTACTATATGTTACCAGCAGTTTGCAATGCCATCTACATGGAGTAAGATCTTAAATCCACTCAAAGATGGAATCCAGTACTAAATGTAGGAACCCATCAACTGAGTACACCAGTCAAACAGAGTACACTGTTACGAGTGCAACAGAAATGCTTCATGTGCATTAGCTGCTCATTCTGTATAGAATGAAAGGTAAAGGCCTAAAAGGCAAGGCATGTGCCTTTCTGAGATGGCCAATCTCCTCCCAGACTATGCTGAGGTTGCAATCAATGGCCCATGAAGTAGCATTCCTCAGCTTGAGCCAACCTGCTGGCAGGAGTTATTAATGAATACCATTATAGTATGTACCTCTATCAGGAAAAAAAATAACCCAAATGTGCTAACCTTTGGATTATACTGCTAAACCCACCTTTTTTGAACAAACATACTGGGAAGACTAAAATGCTTGGAATAAGTCAAAGCTAGAAACCTTGTATTCATTTTCTTTCTGCTGACTGGCCATTTTAGGGGATTACTGCTATTAGGTACTGTTATGGTTTATATTTTAAAGAGAGTCTGGAATAAACTTTTCATACTGTTTAAATTAAAATAAAACAATCCTATAATTACCACTACTTGGGATCAGGCTAACTGAGATAAGAAATTTATGCCAACTTGTGGGCCAAGGAAGAAGCTCCCTACTTCATTTATAACAAGCATCTAAACATCAGATCCATTAAACGTGAACAAGTGTGTCTGTGGGGGATGGGGATGGGACAGACACCTTCACCTCTTCAGAGGAATCTAGTCCTCAAGAACACTAGGATACCATGGAAATGTAGAAATAACTGATCAAATTTCATCCAATATGAAAAACTTAGACCTTAATATCGTTACCATTCATCTCCATCTTTCACATTACATTAGGGATGTGAAAGGTTAAGCAATTAATCATTTAATAGATAAGCCCAATTACTGTACTGGTTATTGTTTAGCATGGGGCAGGGAAACCACTGTAGTGCCCCAGTAGGAACTGGAAGACAGAAGGGCAGGGAGGAGGGGCAAGGGGGAGGACTAGTACTCACAGCCTAGGACAGCAGCTCCCAATCTGTGGTCCGCATACAATAAGTGGTACGCAGACAACCCATCAGTGGCATGCAGCAGCAGCAGGCAGAGGCGCTCAGGGCACTTGTGCCCAGCGGGGTGTGGCTCCAGCCAGTGCTGCACATCACAGTGATGGGCGCAGCCTCTGCCAGGCCATCTGTATTGCCAGTACTCGCCATGCGCACGTGCAGCTGTCACATTTGCCAGGCATGGGAGAGGAGCCCCACACACTGGAGGCAGCTACCTTCCCCACTGGGATTGCGCAGTACAGGAGGGAAGCCCCAGGCACCTTCCCCTGTGGGGAAGAAAGGCAGCCAGCTTGAGTGCATGGGGCTTCCCTCCAACATCTGATGAGTGTGGGGAGTGCCATCAATACAGACTGCCCAGCGGAGGATGCAACCCTCGCTGCGATGTGTGCCACTGGCTGGAGCTGCACCCCACTAGGCACCCTGAGCACCCCCGCCTGCTGCTGAACCATAGCAGGGAGTGCAGGTGGTCCCTACACCCCTCCACTCTCCCTCTCCTCCCACAACTCCCCCTCACATATACAAAACCCCAATATACCCTATGCTCCCCCCACACAGCCACACCCCCCTCACAAACCCACCACACAGCCTATCATACATGCCCTCCCCTACCCAACCTGGTGGTACTTAAGGTTGTATCATTTAGAATTGGTGGCACGCAATTTGTCAGAGTTTGGGAACCTCTGGCCCAGGAGGTTAAAGAGGAAAACAGCAAGCAGCCCAATAATGACTTGTCAGCTAAGCCATTAGTTGCTCCTTCACAGGTGCTGCATTCCCCCCAGACAGGGCTTCACACACTGGGCTGTGTTATCTGGCTGGGCTTGCCACCACCTCCTCCCAAAAGACCCCCCACAGCAGCTCCCACGAGCAGCTATATCTGAGCTGCTGTGTTATCAGTTAACTGTTTAACCAATATAATTAGAGGAAGTTAAATAGATACTTTTTAAAATGATATTTACATCCCTAGTTCACATGTCTTATAGTTAAGAGTGTCCAAAGATAGGATTTTCACCATATTTCAATTATGTTAAAGTCAGCCTTCTGGACTACGATATGAACTAAATTAGTCAACAGATACTTTACATCATGAACAGCATAAAAATAGAGCATCTTCCCTATGGAAGGCCTTCAGCGCTGTTGAAAAGCTCATAACTATATTCATTATTGCAGCCTGCATTGGGATGAATCCTTGTAATAGTAGTTTAAAAAAAGGAAATGAATACTGTATTGATTTGAAACCACAGGGGAATAGTTATTTAACTGTCCCACTACTAGTTCCTCCTCTGTGTTAAAGGCTTTACACACAGAAAAATATGTCTTGAGGCATTTCTGAGATTCTTCTTCAGTGGCAGGGGAGGAGGACTGCCGCTCCAGATGTGGAGGATTGCAGGCAGGCACTCTGAAGGACTAGTCCCTAAACTGTAAAACCCCTGCACTCTGGAAATGCAATGTATCCCAGACATACTCAAGGATGTGGAAGACACAAAAGATATCTTCCATTAAAGCACAGAAGTAAGATGATGGCATGGGTTTCTCACACAATCTCCTCCATTAGATAACTCAGTTCCATTCCCCCTCTTCCTTCCTGCAAGCTCCAGAGTCTTTGACAGAGTCCTGTGGAGGACTTACCCATGGGTTAAATGTAAACAGATACAATCTAACTTCTGAAATGTTGTTAGAATACTGTAGTCAACACCCTTGTCCTTAACTGGAGGTCTTTGAGACCTTGTTGTTTGGTCTCAGACAGGTTAAGGAATAGAAAGCAGGAAGAGATTCTGCCACCCACAGTTCCATTATTGTACTTTGCTCCAGGATCTTACCGTATACTGAAATCACAGCCAGGATAAGCCATGCAGTCCACTCAGGAAGATATTTAATGAATACCAGGGCCATGAGAGCACTGATCATAATAAGATATGCTTGCTGGAGCCTAAGTGGGCCCTTCCAGTGAATGCAGATCATTCCCACCACACCAAAGTTCCAGATCAGGAGCGCTAGGGTTATGTAGTCCATGGCAACATTATAAGTTTTAAAAACTTCACTAAAATGTTTAAGAAAATACAATTAGATAAAGAAAAACAGGAATATTTCCATAAAGCAATGATGAAAAAGAAATGAGGCAAACATCAGAAATAGCTTTTTTGTGGTCAATCAAAAAACATTTTTTAAATCAGGATTTCAACTACATCTAGAACTTAAATGTAGAACATTTTACTTTGAGAGAATAATTTTAATGAACCAAATACTGATAAAAATACTTCAGGTTTACTAATGTATCTTTCACTGACCCTTCATTTCTTTCTCAGTTAGAGATCAAAAGCCACCAGCAGAGGATTTTACTGTAAGTAGTCATAAAGATTATGCTATTAAGTAATGTCCAAAATTCATAGACATCTACCCATTCAGAAGGAAAAAGAAAAGTTTGGCATATAAACAGCTGCTTTTGCTATCTGGAATGCCTAATGGACAATGACCACAGATTCATTCAGCCTAAGAAAGAAGTGTGGTGGAGCTATGTTACCTGATCAGATATTATTCCTAGATTAAAGAATTAAAAATGAGCTATTTTACTCCATTACAAAGAACATATTATAGAAAATAATAAATACACAAGGTATGTTACAGAAAGCACAAATATTGTCTCTAGGTCATAAGCAATTTACACTGGCCTGGGAAAAAATAAAAATGAGTGTTTGAGCTGGCTGATCATATAGGATGCTCCATGTCATAACAACACTGTAAACTGTGCATATGTTGGCAAAAATCAGCAAATATTTTCTTTAAAAGACAGTTTAAATATATCAAGGTGAGGCAAACTGTTGGGAGGTCACTTAGGGAGGAATGAACAGATGGAAGAGGACAACTCAAATTACACCAATACTTAGTTAAAGCCATCTACTATATTCTTATTGGGGCACCACATAGTCTTCACTATTAATTGGCCGTTGCAAACTAAGGGCACCTATACACATGCCTGATGCCTGCTTTGACACGTGCCAATTAGGATGATCCCAAAACCTCACCGTCACAGGTATTTAGCATCCCTGCATTTCAAAATGGCATCAAGGGCTACTTAACTAGAACAAGAGCTGCTTTAATTAAAATGCCACACCCCACCACCTCCACCTAGGATCACGTGTACAGATCCCTTAAGATATTCAAAAGGAGCTAGAGGAAAACAAAAAGTTGTCAAGGATCTTTAGGAGCAGAGGATCCCACTAAATAGGAAAATATTTGTAATAACTTGAAACAGAGGGGAAATTGCTTCCAGGCACAACACATGCATACTGGAACAATTTGAATGTGTTTCTGGTCTCTGAAATTATAAAATTTAACCAGGCTGCATATTATGAATGCATCTGAAAATTATAAATGTCCACTCTTAATAACCTGCTAAAGCTGTGCTTCAGCATTTCAAATATAAAACTTCCACTAGATATAAATAGGAATGGACATCTGTAGCAGAGCAAATTTCTTTTGGTAAATTTGGTCTTTTCTATTCTAGTTTCACATAAAAACCCTTTGTATAACCAGCCCTTCCCATTACCATGAAGGCAACTGTAAACATGTGCTTACTGTGAAGGGACAGATTGGAAGGCAAGTTCTGAAGACCAAAGTTTGTTCTACTTACCCCAAGTAAATGAATGAGAAAAAGAAAAGCAGCAAGAGAGAAGAAATGATAAGCCAGCCATGGATCACCTGAAGAAGACAGCAACATCAGTACAGGTCTTTTCAAACTTGACATTTCTAAGTTAAACACTGTTATAAAATATTGCCTTTTTGTTTCTTTCTTTTTTCCTGAATGAGAGGTTTGATTTCACAACAAGCAGGCTCAAGAGATGGTTCACACTTATACCCAACTCCCTTTGAAGAGGCAAATAATATTTGGCGTTTCAAGAATGGGAATGAGATTCAGGTATCTCTGGGCTTTCAGTCTGTACTGACACTGATTTTTATTTATTTTTTTTTGCTAGTCTTGACTCCTGTGCCTCCAGTTTGCAAATCTATAAAAAAAAGATACTACACTTAACCCATCTTTAAGTGCTTTTAGATCTTGGAATAAAAGGTGATGTTCAAACACCAAGTATTATTTTTAGCACATTATTTAAAACAATTTAATAACACTGTGTCAAAGTATCAAGCATTGTAAAACAATGAAAACATGATTTATGTTTATATTATTTGAAGAAATTACCAGTTAGTATTTCAATCCATTACCAGAATTCACCTATCCATAAAGGCTACAACTATAACACTGAAGAACCTTCTTTATGAATTCTTGCATAACAACAAACTAGCATTAACATATTATCTAAGCTGGGGTGTTCAACCCCTGGCCCATGGAGCTGTGTGGTACAGTCTAGAGGGCTCCCAAAGGGTCCAGAAATTTGGCGGCATGGAAGTGGTGTTTCCCCACCCCCAAAATTTTCAAGCCCAGATGTGCTTTGGTACCTTGCATGGGATCTGATTGGTGTGAGAGGTCAGGACACCAGTACAGCATACCAGATGGGGCCTGGAACCCAGCTCACTGGCTAAACCTGCACCACCCATCTGGCCCTCATGACTAGAAAGTTGGGCACCACTGATAAGGCAGTGATTTTCAACCGGAATGATGCAAGATCTTTTGAAGGGTGTTATGGGTGCAAGGAGGTAAGCACTTGCTCCTCCTCCCCCTGCCTGGCCCCCGTGTAGGAGAAAAAAAACGTAATAAATAGTTTTGAAATGGGGTGCCACTAGATATAGACCCCAGGCACGCCTCCATGACTTTCTGAAAAGTTTGAGAACCACTGATCTAAAGAAAGAACAAACAAACAGTTATATGATCCTCATTTATAATACAAAACCTCCAGAGTAATCTATATACATCACAAATTTTCTGATGGGAAAGTAACTTGCCCTGTATATTCGTTAAACAAAAATCTTAAAATTTCTCTTTCTTTCTTAAGACGTGAATCATAAAATGTTTTAAGATTCAGGTCTAGCAAGGCAAATATATTTATAAAAAGATTACAATAGGAAATGCATTTTAACCTTGTAATGAGAAGGGAGGACAGTTCTAATTCCTTCTCTGCTGCAATACCCTTCAGAATGTGGCCCAATTTACATAAAAACTTTAACCTAACAAGATCTGTCATCAAACTTCAGTAATCTCACCAACTGGTTCCTCTAATTTTAAAAGAACCTTCTCATAAATAAGCAGCTTTCTCCTTGCAATAGGTATTCTGTTTTCAATGACTATGCAGTGAAATATCAAATCTTTACCAGCAGCCGGCTGTTACGGGGGTACAACACTGTGAAGTTGGGATCAACAGGGAAATGGAAAGAAAACTTTCAAATATTTTACAAGATTACATACACATCCTGTTAATGATCTGACAGAGCAGATTTTAAGTATAAATATTTTTCCAGGTCACTTTTTAAGACAAATTGACATAAGCTTTATTGTCAGAACCCATGACTAAAGCTCCTAGGAGTTTGTACACTATAAATGTTAACAGAAATCAGCATTAGCACAATCACAAAGCAAGCTGTCTCATTGTTAAAGAGGAGACCTAGAATTTCAGTATGCCCAAATACTAATGATCCATTTTAGTATGGAGCACATTTTCTTCACTGTATAAATAAATGCCAAAAAAGCATTCATTACTATTAGGCCCTAGCCCTGCAAATACTCATATATGTACTTAAGGACTGTGCCTAGTTCCCCTGCCACATTTGTTTCTGTTCTGAAGAAATGTCATACATTATCAAATAATTTGTTTTTTTAACATTTTTTTTGCTAAGTTATTTCAAAGCCACCTACTTTTCTTCACAGAAAACTTTCCAACCCACTTCATTTAAAAAGCAAGTGTTAGACAACACATTTCATAACAGCATGCTACTGGTTTTCTGATTAAAATATTCTCATATGACTGTGGCTCCTGCACCAATCAATCTGTTGCTACACTCAGCTTTATCTTGATTTAGCAGGTAAGACAGAACTGCTAGGATTTGTAGAACATAGGGAATTAAAGTTGGTATTCCAGAGATTTTGTTTAAACTAAAACCATGGGTTATTTAGGAAAAAATAAAAATGCATAAAAATCAGACTACAAACACTACCTACACAGAAGGACTGCTTTCTGGTAAATATATCCAAGACCTAGAGACAGAATCAGTGCTATTATCCACTCAACGTGCAACCTCACGCAAGACACTTCACTTTGATGCCTCAGCTTTTCCCTTTTTCTTTTTTTTTTTTTTTTAGCACTGGGATTATACTTCTTAACTTCAAAAGTTAAGATATACCACCTAGATGAAAGATGATACTGATAGGAAAATCATTGCCCCCTCTTCAGGTATCAAATGTTGTTTTGCTACAATTTAGTTTCCATTCCAGCGAAGAGAAAAAGAGCAATGTTCCAATTACGCAGTGAAAAGTTGGACTTGCGCTCAACAACTAGGTAACTGATTTGGCAGCAGAGTGGGGCAGAAGGCTGGAAATACTTTGAGAATTTTCATTTAAATTGAAACTTTAACGTTTTCTCAAGAATTAAGCATGAAAAAATATAATTGCTACAGAAGCTTCAGCATTTTTATTTTTTATATAAATTTTAATTTACTCTGCTTAAACATTTTCACATTTGATGTGCCATGGACTTTTGTAAAAATTGTTCATGATTGCACTGTAGAAATAGCTAGGCCAAGGGGAGCCTATAATTTCTGGCAGACTGTTAGGAGACAGGTGAGGTTTTCTGCCATCTGGGGAGACCTGAGTGGCAGGGTGTGCATTAAGCATATGAGTTAGTTCCTTTTACTGACAGGATCTGCAGTGAAATAATTTAAACACCTATTCTAAACTCTGATTATATGTCTGATTTAACACTCCATTGCAACAAAGAAGAAGATTCACACCTTCAAAGTGTTGTCTTAAGCAGTCTACACTCAGGAAGATGTCATTGCATCAATCACACTCCATTATATTTGAAAGCATTTTTTTCATCCATGAAGATTAGAAACTTTTCCCCCAAAAAATACAGAAAAGAAACTGCAACAAAAATTTTGTATCAAGGAGCAGATTCCAAAGCAAATTCTGTAACTGTGAAACACACATGCTCAAGGCTCCAACTAAATGACAGTAAAATTTTGTTACTCCACAGCCTGCTTTATTGGTCATTAAAAGCCCAAAGGACAATCCCTGGGCCAAAAGTAGCCCAGCATCAATGTATCCCAGCAAACTGATATAACCAGAATATGTGCAAAGTTTAAGCTCCCATCAATGATATCGTTATGCATTTTTCTGAGCCCTGATGACTGTATAAAAAACCCCTACTGTTTGAATACCATTCTGCTATTCAAACAGTTAAAATCATTGTTTTATCTACTTTTACAACATGAAACAACTTTTCACCTGATAACATAGTAGTTACCTAGGTTCTGTATTATCCCCTTCCTGGTATAGGGAACAAAGTCCCCAGAACTAAAACAGTGAAATTCTACCACTGGTCTGCCAGTTTTGTTAATCACAGTAGTTCTCATCTCAACAATACAGCAGTGACATTAAATAAAACAAGGTTAGCAAAATGATCAAAGTTAACTGTATTTGTGCTCACCTTATAGCACCTATATTTGTAAAGAACCACCAGGAGTATAGTCATGACAATAATAACACTGATCATGATGGCAGCATTGAGAACAGAATTCAGAACTCTTTGTCCCACTGTATCTGTTTCTTCTGTGAAGGGAGTGTAGATACTAAAATAAAGACCAAAAGAACAATGAAAATTCCAATACACGTTCCACAAACGTCTCCCACATAAAAGCCCAGGATTAATATGCAGTTTTTTAAAACCACTTTCTCTCCTGCAATCTTATTTTCCAGCTTAAAGTTGCCAAAATTACAGTCATTTTCTGCTAAGAAAAAGAGCATTGAAACATTTCAAAATGTTAATCTCAGTAACAGCATGCAAGTATATATTAGTTCACACTAAGCACAAGTTGGCCTTTATAGACATGCCATCTAGTGGATATATGATAAAATACAACCTGATGACAAAAAGGTGTGGGGTAAGAACCGGGATTCTCTAGTCCATGAGAAACTCTGAGTTTGTATCCCACCCTCCAGCCCTACCATTCCAATACAAGCTAAACAATTTCATAAAGAAAGTATTTTTTTTTTCAAAATTTCAGTTGTTTGTAACATTTTGTTTAAAAATTAAAATGTTTCATTCTAATTTCAACTTTATGCATTTTACAAATGTTGTTATAATATAACAAACGTCTAAGCAAAGAGTTATTTGGAAGCCAATTTAAAATGTTCTGTTCACCAAAATGGAATGTTCTGACACCGAACTGTTTCAAACCATTTTTTTCCCTCTGAGAATTTTTGTTGCGACTGGTGTGTTTGTATGAAGTGTTTTCACTTTTGTTAAATCTGTTTTTCTATTGGAAAATGCTTTCTGTCAGAAAATTTCCAACCAGCTCCGTGAACCATTCTTAAAAGCTCTTCCTATTCTATACATGTTACTTTGCTGGTAAGTGATATAGGCAAATCAAAAATGATGTACACACAGTTTAGCTAACAAAGCTCTCATTTATCATCATTAACATGAGGAGTCTTTATGCTTTAGCGGTCTGCACCTTTGATAGCCTCTGCTCAGGACTGTGTTCAAGTGACTGACAGCATATAAAAGGACACACAAACTGAGTAGTCAAGGATTAGGATTCAGACCAAGAAATGGCAAATTACCTTTAGAGAAAGCAATTCTGTATGAGGGAGGGGTTGAAATTACTGATTAAAAGGAAAATGAAACTTTAGATTTCATCACTGTAATTCCTTATAGAAGCATAAGAAAAATCTGGGTCAAACTGACTACGCATCTAAAATGGGTCAATCTTTTAGGCTGAGAGGAGCTGGGAACTATATAGGGATCCTAATCTGTAGAAGGAACAACATTTAAGTTGTCCTTGTACTGGAAGAAGTCACTGGATAACAGACTCCTGAATATACGTGGCTGGAGTGTAAAGAAAGTGAGCTTGTGTGGACCAGACAAGAAAAAAAAAAAAAATCACAAGAAGGTTTGATACATACAGCTGCCCATCTTTGCGTGTGTAAAAGCTGACTGACTTGATGGTTGCAACAACTACCACCATGCAAAGTGTGACAGGAACAAAGAGCATAATCACATGCTTTGCCCCATATTTCAAAGTCAGTTCCTCATCTTCTTCTTCATCCTGCTCCACCACTTGCCGTGTGCTGTTCTGCGCCTGCCCATTAGTTTCCGATTCAGGGTTATCATTACGCCTTCGGTCATTGTTATCATGACGCCGTCTTTCACTGTTGTCATTCTGCAATACAAGAAAGCTCAGTTCCAGAAACATGTTTGCCACACATGTATATATGCTAAATCTAGGAGGATGTAGGTTAAGGAATGCATCCTTTACTGTTAAACATACTTTCAGCAGCAAAGACTTGAAAACAAAACCAGGCAAATAAAATGAGCCATGTACAAAAAATGAGAGTGTATATATAGAGTAATACTAGAAGCCATCCATCTCTGAAGCAGAAACAGTTAAAAAGTGTTGTTTATGTCCAGCAGTATGGATGGTCCTTTTACATACACAAAACTGAGAAACAAATTCCAAATCCTTCTCTTGCAAGGAAATAAAGTTGATGCATGTGCGGGTTAAGTCAGATGGTAGCACCAAATTAATCAGAAGTGTTAATTTTTAAACCTACCACCAGAGATGGCTGTATTCCTCTCTGCATGAAACCTCAATTATTCTGAAGTGAATTTCATTTACTTCTTTACATTCACAACAGCACACCAAGCAAAAGATATCATTATTACAACAGTAATGAAATGCTGTAAACTAACATCTGAGATTCTTTTTTTTAACATTTTTAAAAGGACATTCTTCCTGATGTACCAACTGGTGAGCACAAAATACAGATCCCCCACTCTCCTAAAAGGGAATTTAGTGCAGATCTCCATTTCCAAGCTTTGCAATATTTAACAGTAGTAATATATTGTGGGAGAATATTTCGAATTTGAGGACTAAGGCAGTTTTATTTCTCTAAATGGAATGGATCTAACCCATTTAAGATTCACAGTAAGAGAAGAAACATTAAAATTGGAATTCAACTTTTGCTAAATCTTAAGTGAAATCAAACCCATGTGCAAACAAACATGTCCCCTAGTTTGCTCGTAAGCTCCATGGATGGCCCTTCAGCAAAAAAGGCTGGTTTATGGTTGACAAAGGAGGATTTAGGAACTACCTACAAACTGGACTTTCACTGAGAGAGACCAACAGTAAGGTCTGAATATGTTTAGGTAAGAGCTGAGAAAGTGGGAGCAGGAGACGAGTGAAGGTGGGAAGCTGCTAGCAAAAATGTATGTGTTCACTTTCCAAACCAGTGAACTCACAACAGCACTGGCTTAATCACTACAGGGGAACCTGTGCTGCAGTCAGAGCATGTGGGGGTCCTTCTAAACTTTAAGGAAGTGTGGCAGGCCCATGCTGCCGATACCCAGGTGGCCTGCCTGTGAGCAGCTGGGCCAGCACCGAATGTCTGTAAGAGAGATCACAGATTGGTCCAGCCCCCGGAAGCTCCCAGAACAAGAGGAGTTCAGCGGCTATATCCCAGGGGGAGCGAGAAGGAGGGAGCACCAAATGCACCTCCGGAAGTTCCCCTGCAGCTGGCATGGGCCAGCAGGACCACAAGCAGGCAGCCTGCTGGGCAATGTGACCACTCAGACCATGGTAGGGGTCTCCCCACAGCATCTGAGCACCCACCCACCAGAGGCAAGAAGCCCTGACAGACCAGACTGTCAACAAAGACTGGATGCCTGGGGAAGGGAGCCCGAACTCCAGCAGAGGAACAACCATTGACAGAACCAGGGATCCGGATCCTGCTGAGACCCTACTCACACCATTCGTGGCCAGCAGGTATATGCAGGGTACCCAGAGCAGGATGGAGGCAGCCAAGGAGGCATCAGTGGGACCCACCAAGGGGAAGGACCCGCTAGGGAGCTTGGTGGTGCAGCTCACCACACTGATACGGCCTCGGATACTGAAATCCAGTCGGCCAGTGTCAGGTGCCTGGGGGTCACAAGGACATGAATAAATGCCCCACAGGACATTATAGAACAGGGCCAAGCACCAACCGATCCAGTGTTCCTGGGGGTAAAACCCTCACACGGGGATTCCACAGAAGCCATACAGGGCGTGCCACATGGGTTGGGCACCAAGAAGAGGCACCAGAATCAGCAAGCATCAGTGCCCTGCCTGTCCACATCCCGAGAGGAATTTCAGTTCATATATTGGTGAGTTGTGAGGTTCTCTCTCAACTGGAGACGTTGGGACCACCGGCCTGCTAGAAGACCGTTCTCCCACGAGGAACGGACAGTGCCTGCGGTACACTCAGATGCTGCCAAGACCCAGACAGAACACCAGAGTGGAAAGGTGTGGGGTGAAGAGGAAGTAAGGAGCCCCATTGAAGAAGCACCAGTCAAGGTGCCCAGGGTCCTCAAGGACCACTGAACAAAATCTTCCAGCAAAAACTCTGGTAACACCAAATCAAGTGAGTAGACCCTGGTTCAGGATGCCTAGGTGGGCAAGGTGGGCCAGTGGTGTCCCTGTGAACATGGTCCCACCACAAGATAAAAGCATTTAGAGATATTTTTGTTAATTCCATGGAGATGCACAAACTGGACTAACTGAACCTTATCCAGAACATAAAACAAATAGGGCGACCATTATTTACTAGCCACGGTTTTTCAATTAAGCCCATTTCCAGAACTGATATCAATGCTGTGACAACTCTATGAATTTCCCACCAGACTATAGCTCACTTCATTTTAGTACCTATAGCAGACACCAAAATTATGAACAAGTTCCAGACACTGATGTAATTTAATTCCAAGTAAGAAAGGACAAATAATTTAGGTTGTCTTTTAAAATGTGCTCTTTACAAATGCCAAGGTCAACAAAAGACTTTAAAAAATGTTCAGTGTTTAGGAAAGTTATTTTCAAGCCTCAAGACCTGCCTATAAATAGAGATGCAATTTCTCTGAATTTAGGCAAGAACAATTAATTTTGTGCAAGTGTTCTCCTTTAGAGAACCTTGCCAATATCAGCACACATGCGTGCAATCTTTGCTTGATTAGTTCACATGTACCAAATAACAGAAGTAAAATTTGACATCAATATATTTTTGCTGTGTCAGCTTGTTCTGACTTCTCTCTTGTTCTGTGCCAATATTCAGTGATTATGTACTTGATTACCCAAGTGAAACAAGCTGCAATATGTTACCAAGATGATCCTGGATGGTTAGTCACTAGATTGATCTCTCTCTCAAAATAAGTTGTATGTCACTTGATACTAAGCAGAAGCTCAAATCTGTATTTCTCTCTCTCAGCCAGTTTTTTCTAACACATCCAACTTTACTTCCACAATTACAAAATAAGCGCATTTTCAAAACGCACTTTCAATATAACAAATTTGTATTGAAAAAAAGATCGTAAGTCACCTACCAGCAAAAGTACCATTGACTTTAAACTGGAAACCCATGACGGCTGAAGTATAAGTTTCTTAACTTCTGAAGCTGATATCAGAAGTTGCAATTGTGGCATCGGAGGGGGGTGGGGGCTGTACACATTGTGGTGTTCTCATCATATTGTTGCCAGTCAGGTTCCAGTTTTGGTACAGAAAAAGATTTTAAGTGTGAAACTTTTCCACTGTGTAAAATTTAAAACTAAATTAAAAAACTAAAAACAAGTTGTGTACAGATTTAATGGAAAGTAAGGCACTAGCAATATTACATTTATATTTGATTTGTTTTTTAATCAAATTATCTCACTGGTGCTACAAGGGTGATCGCAGTGGGTTCTGTTTTTCTTTCATGTCAATCTGTAACTAGGAATGACCTGGAAAGTCTAAAGCTCATCTACCTCCTAATGCTGGCATTCCCTACAACTTTGTTGGCATAAGTATAACTAACGGCATGTTATATAGCCTGTGGAACATATGTGAGTATAACAGTAAAACATTCACCAATAGTGGACTGAATACATGGGTAGTTTACAAGTAGGAAATAGGTGATGAAAAAGTACATGCGTAACGCAGGATCTGGGTCTACGCTGCTTCAGAAAGAAGGGTGTGTCAAGGGAAGAGTCTACTCCTATATTCTTCATCAAATCACACTCATTTCATATTTGGAACATTGTCTTTTCACAGTGATAAGGACTAAGGTGTTTAATTCTTCAGAAGTGTATGTTAAAGATCCAGCCACTCACTACATTTGACATCTTTTGTCATGTACTGAGACTCATTTTGAAGATAAATTTTAGTTTACTGCTTATGGAACTGAAAAGTCTAAGTAACAAAAGGAATTTCAGAGAAATATTATACACAAAAATAATTCTTCAGTAAATTCTTCACAAATGAAAAGTAGACAGATGGTCAAACATTTATGATGGAAAATTCCTATATGGAAGGTTTGATGTATTTAGGTGAAAAAACAAACAAAAAGTCCTAAATGAATACAGCAGAATGCCAATTATTTAAACACAGGATGTGCATAGAGCACAAGCAAGAGCAATCCTGACAAAAGAGAACCGTTTAAATGACTAGATGAAAAAAAACAAACAAAAAACCCTGAAATACATAACTGTCACTGAGTTTGCTTTAGAATGTGTCATTAGGATACATTCATTTAATACGTGTTATGCTAACTGAACAATTCAATTTTATGTAAGGGTTATGGTCCCCAATTAGTTTGGATAATCAACACTCTATTCTACAACTAATTAGCATTCATGGTCTTTCTAAAACTGTCTTTAAAATTTCCTTCCTACAAATCATATGACATCAAACATGAATTTCATCTCTTTTAATGGTAGTATTCAGTTTCTCTCAACATATAGAAACAAACATCTTTGTCACGTACTAAAATAAAACTCCCTGATTATAGTACATGTGAGATATAATGGAAAAAATATTGATCTAGAAGCACTTAGACTAATTGGTTAAGACAATTTAATATTTAGCTTTCCTGATTCTTGTGGATTGTTTTTCTTCATTTCTTATAATACTAATCCTGACTGAACAAGTGCACCTACTTTTAGCATTTGAATTATAAATACAAAGAGAAAAAAAACCCTGTGCTTTACAAAGCTAAGACTGAAACAGCTGAACAAAAAGCTTTCTGACTGCAGGATCATAATTTATACTGCCACGGGGAATATGGTATAAAAGAAAAACAAAGGGTATGATTCTATATTAAGTTATATTTCCTGGATCATTTAGAAACAAATGAAACTACAAAAATTGCTTAATTCCTTTAA